ATAGACACTTCTCCATCTTTACTTCCTCTCTGAGATGCTCTTCAAATTAAGTGAGTTCAGGTATTTTTTGCAGTGATACGTTTTCCCTGGTTATACCTGTGCGCGCCCATCAATCCATTTTAGATAGCTTCACAGAACATTGCAGCATCTTTATGTGCTTACATTACTGAAATATAGCATTGAAATGATTTGCAAATCAATGCATTCTGTTGTTTTGTTTTGTTTTTCTTTTTAAGAATAAACACAAGTCACCAAGTGTGCCACACTATCACGGTCCTATCCACAGGATAGAGATGCTCTGTAAATAGATAACCATGTACACCATTTTGAAGTTAATAAACATTACTCATTTTGGGTGATCAGTGATGACTGTCATCAAAAAACCTCTTATAGCAACTAAAATGGTACATTTTTTCAAAGCTTGTGGAGAGGTTGAACACAGTCAGAGGAAGAAGCCATAAAATGTTTATGCAGATCTTGAATCACTTTCTTTGAAACTGCAGCTCTGTCCAAGTGCCCCACTTTTCTCACTTTGAGACTCTGCTGCTGACTTCTTGTTATTTCTAACCTTCTGTCCATCGCTCTCTCGCCTTCTCTCCAGGGGTGTGTATGACATAGTGGTTTCAGGAAAATGCGTGGGTCAGTATAACAATAAGGGCAGCTTTGGAGAGCTGGCACTCATGTACAACACGCCACGTGCCGCCACCATTGTAGCCACCCAGGACGGAGCGCTATGGGGACTGGTAAGAACTTATAATCCACTTTAAATCCTTTTCTAAAGCCACCACCTACACGAAACTCCACATTATTAAGCATTTTCTAACTCCATTTTGTTCTTTGTTTTTCAGTAACATTTCAGTTATGACCCCTTTGAACTTACATCAGCTGTTGTACATCTGTTGTAATAGTATAGCAGCCTGTACGGGTCTGTAAAGCTCAGGTTTAAACTGTTTTCATTGAAAATTGTCTCCAGAGGATTGCACTGTGAAGGCTGGGAGCTGCTTCTGTGACTGAACACAGTTTAATAGGCTGTGATGCTGAAGCATGTTAAGAATGGACTCCTGTAATCTATGAATGGAGCCAGTGGCTTTGTAATGTCTTTTGCCGCTGCAGCTCCACCTGCTGGCCAAGCAGAGGAAGAACAATGTGACTTTTTCTCTATATGAGGTATTTGTTTATTAGAGACATTTTTCCTCTCCTAGGACCGTGCTACATTTCGTAGACTCATTGTAAAGAACAATGCCAAGAAGAGGAGGATGTACGAGTGTTTCATTGAGTCAGTGCCCCTACTCAAATCACTGGAGGTGAGTTATACTTGGATTGGTTTGAAATAAACCTCATCTTACTCAGTTTAGGCCCCCCCACCCCCACGCCCTCATATTAAAGAGTCTAAAGTTCAGCAGAAAGTATAAGAATGAGATTGATGAATCTGAGATGAGCTGGGATTGACTTTGGGGGTATTTGCAACATTTTTGACGCATTTCTTCTACAATATTGCCATTTTCCCTTAAATGTTTGTCTTCTCTCTTTCCAGGCAACAGAGAGGATGAAGCTAGTTGATGTATTAGGAGCAAAGCAGTTCACAGATGCTGAACGTATCATCACACAGGTGAGAGATGCATTTATCAGATGTAGTTTCACGCTGCAGCGTTGAAGGTCTTTACATTCATATAGAGCATATATATAAGTGTCTTTTCTTTCTTCTCAGGGAGACAAAGCTGATTGTTTCTACATTGTAGAGTCTGGGGAGGTCAAGATCATGATGAAGAGTAAAGTAAGAAGCTCAACTTCTTTGAACGAATGTATTTTCAATGTGCATTTCTATAAGCAGAAAACTTAGGATCATACTTACTGGTTTAACAGTATGCAGTTAGACAAAAGCCTGATTATATTCTTTCACCAGGTAATTTCTGTACAGCACAATAGCAACCCACACTCTCCATTGAAATCCATCACAACACAAAAGCGTGTCCTCTATTTGCCTAGCAACTATGGGATTCATGATTGTCTGCTCAGTCTGCTGAGTGCCTCTTGCTTCGGGGTTGAGGCTCCTAACCTTTAATCCTGTTCCCTTTTCTCCTCCCCCCTCTCCTGCAGACGAAGGCAGACCACGCAGACAATGCGGAGGTGGAGATAACACGCTGTACCAGGGGTCAGTACTTCGGGGAGCTGGCCTTGGTCACTAACAAGCCCCGGGCCGCCTCAGCCTACGCAGTGGGAGATGTCAAGTGTTTGGGTAAGACAAAATATACTTGGACATCAATGCCAATCCTGCTATCTCAAGGATAGTGATAAGGAACTTAGATGTGTGTAACCCTTGTATATAGTTGGGCATCATATAAAATCTGTGAATGAGTAGTATTTAAACCACTCAAACTTTCAACAGGTCTGTGGTATTCATTTTCTACTACCGTAATTGAACTGTTACAAGCATTTTGGCCTGAGATATCAAGTGGCATTTGAATTTTGATTAATTCACGGCCGGCTGTTCATCACCTTTTTTTTTTTTTTTTTCCTCTTTCTTTTTGATTGAAGGTCATTGTGTCATTATTTTGCTTTTAAAGTGGGTACACTAATTCAGGCTCTTCAGAGTGTGTATGAGCAGCTCTTCAGTTTTGAAAATGAACAGGATTATTATTATTTTTATTTTTTTAATAACTGGTTGTGTTTTTGTAGCATCCCTGTGGTTTTTATTTAGTTTTCCAGTCATCTCTGTTATTTGTTTTAATGGTGTATTAGCTCCACTCTGTGTTCCCCTGTTTACTCCTCTTTAGTGTTAACCATAAATACACTGTTAGTATACACTCTTATCCATCTTGTATTTCAGTGTATTTTCTGTTCCCTGACGGTACCCCAGCTTGTCTTGAACAAATGCTTGATCTTTTAAGAAGAGGAAGTGTCATTAATCCGTACTGCAGCGGCATATGCTGTCTGCTGTACTCCTGTCACTCTCCCACCGTTGTTAAAGATGAGCAGGACTTCAAAGGCCCCCTGGTGCCTGTAGTGCTGTTATGAACATGTATATCTGTCACAGTGCATCTGTGACAGATAAGATAAGCAGTCTGCTAAATGTATTAATGATGCATCAGAAACATTTCACTGATGACTGAAGTTGTTGTTTCATTCGGGATGAATGCTTATGCTCGCATTTGTCCTGATGGAGGTGAATTTGTCTGGTACTTTGGAGACCTCGGGGTTCAAGTGGGGTTCTTGTGAGATGTGTTTCCAGCTTGGCAGCTTCAGATGATTCTAATCGCAGCTCTACTCATTGCACTTGCGCCTCAGAAATACGTCTACCCTGATATTCTAATGTAGATGTTTGGAAAAGCCAATCCTTTATTTATTCTTTTCAGGAAATTTACATCACAAAGGCAGACAGCTTCAGCACAGACATAATGCCTCACATCCCAAACAGAAAAACTTTATCTATTCCTCATGGCTCCAACTTCCTGTTGAGCTACACACCAAAGTATCTGTGGTTAAAGACTACTTCTGCTTCTGGGTGGTTATCGGTATTGGTTATGTCCTCCTTCTACCTCTCTTAAAGTCCACAACCATCCCCTTGTATTTGCGATGTTAAGATGGAGATGATTACATTCCCTCCAATCTACAAAGTCCTGTGTTTACATATATATGTAACTTTATGTGGGGAAACATTTCAACAGTACCCCTTGTAGACTGTTTAAATGTGTTGTGACAACTGAATTTAATCCTCAGATGTGTTTCACATCCATCTCTGTTTCTCTGTTTAGTAATAGACATCCAGGCATTTGAGCGCCTCCTGGGCTCCTGTAAGGAGATCATGAAGAGGAACATCGCCCACTATGAGGAGCAGCTGGTGGCTCTGTTTGGCTCCAGCATGGACCTGAGAGACTGAGCCTCCCATACCACCCTCCGTGCCTTCTACTACAAACACACATACAGACAGACAGACACACAGACATATGTCCTCTCCCACATCATGCAGTGGCTATAGAGACTCATAAGCTTTACACAGATGGTGCAAATGCATGAAAGTGTACTTGGCTCACCTCCAGGTATATAAATCCTCAGAGTATGAACACACACTCCATCACACACACACATTCACTGATCTCTGTAGGCACTGAGAGACGCTCACTTAAGTCTGCTCACCCTCGTGCACAACCAGCTCAACAGACCCCTTGTTAAGCTGACTTTGGTTAGATATACACATACAGAGCTAGCTGAAGGCCACATACCTTGTTGCTTGAGCCAGCTTCAACCTCTCAGTATGAATGCCTTTGCTGCAGTGACCTAAAACAGGTAAAAGCAGTGTAAGGACGTATAGTACACAAGCACTCCATACACACGTCCAAAAAGACACAGAGCTTCACATGTGCAGGCTTTGCATTCACGTGAGCACTTAAACAACTCCAAGTTGTTCCAAGCCTCAGCCAAGGACACATCAACCCATGGAGACACACACACACACACACACACACACACACACACACACACACACACGCGGGTACAACATATAGGCAACCACAGTTGCAAAAACGGATACACTGTGGTAAAATGGAGATGAAAAACTTCCCTGAAAAGGAAAACTTCAAATTCAAAAAGGCAAAAAAAAAGAGAGTTTAAAAAAAGATACATTTTAGAAACATTTTATGAAGATTCAAAACAGAAGCTTTGATAAAATATTTAAATTAACAAAAAAAGAGTGTTTCCTCTTTGGGGGGGCTGGGGTGCAGAACTTTGTGAGCGCGCTCCGTTTCTTCCTCTACTGTTGTTGATCGAGTTGAGTTAGTGCTGGTGATTATTGCAGTACCACAGAAGAAGCAGTGAAAACAATAACAACCCTGTGTTTTCTGGGCCATTGTTATTCGTCATTGACTCCACACATCATTGTATTGAATTAATTAATAATGTATTGTTATATTCTTTTTTGCTTTTTGTTTTGTTTTACTTTGACCAGTTCTGATAAAATTCACCATCATCTCTGACACAATGTAAAGAGAAAAAAAAGGAAGAAAAAAAAACATCTAATATAACATTAGTGCTTATTTCGCCTTGATTATCCTTGAATAAGTTGTCCTGGATTTAAAAATGGAAAAAAAATAAATAAAAAATTTTGTTAAAAAAAACCCTTGCCTCTGTTAAATTTCTAATGCAACTTGAGATTTTTTTCAGTGTCATATTAATAACATGTAAATGCAAGTATTTGGGTGATTCAAATGCAGTGCGTGTAACACTGAGCTTTGGTTGATTCTCACAGGCAGTTTGTGGTCCTTCATTATGTTCTAGCCTTCAGCTTATGTAGTAAGAGACTACTCATCACTACTGCACTGCTTTGTTAACGTCATTTCCCTTTGTTTCCATGTGTCAATTTTCATCTTTCCTAAAGGTGCTTATACATGATTCAGCTGTGACTCAACTTTAGACAATACTTACTGCAGATCACTGTTTTTAATTAATTTTTTAAAGTTACAATAATGAGTCATACATTATGCATTATTTAAATAATAGCCAAAATATTCCACCTACTATATAACACAAAGAAGCCACTCATGACCTCACTGAAAAGGTCCACGGAACAGATTTTCCTTTAATTTGTCACTTTTTGTGTATGTGTAATACAACTCCCATTCGCTGGGGGCAGACGTGACAGCACGCACTCTTGACGTGAGCAGCAGCATTTCCTCCCGTTATGGACGTACCGGTTTGACGGTAGGGGAAACTGATACAGGAGCGGACACTATGAACGGCCATAAGCTTATACAGTCGTGAAGCCAGATTTAGAGCTTACCGCAGATCAGCTGTGAAACAAACTCCTGTGAGAGGACGACCAGAAACGGCAACCAACCACGAGACTTAAAAAAATGTAGGTAACTTTGTGGTGGTAGGAAGCGACCGAAAAGGTGAACTTGTTGCTTTAGAATAAACTTTAAATGATTTTCTTACTAATATTTAACTAGCGTCACTACGCACCCCCGGGGTACTGCTTATTGACGCCTAAAGCTGTAAATAAGCACATGGGCATGCTAGCATGTCGCTGTGAATGCGAGTTCATTTAACTTGCATAGAAGTGGACGTCAATAAGGGAGGAGTAGATGACAAGTTTATATATATTTTTAAAAAATACCCAGTTGGGTGGTCACGTTTGTCTTCTTATTTTTATGTCAATATTTTATCTGAAATGTGCTTAATTATTTTAGGATCAGGGGAGTTGTGGGCAGTGAAACATCGAATAACTACAACTCCCACAAAGCATACATTTCTGCTCTTGCTACTACCTGGGGAAAAAAAACTTTTTGTCTGTAATAAATCTGTTTTCTGATTAACGAGAGCATTAAAACGGTATTACCACGTTTAGTTTAGCGTCTTACTTTCTTCCCTCTTTAAGGTACCCGATATTTATCTTGTTGCCCTCCCACCCCGTGTTATTTCTCACTATAAATGTTTTTGGGTTATCTGGCCAAGGAAAAACATAAAAAGAAGCATCTTATAAGTGAGAGAGGTTAGAAAAAGGGAGTAATCCCTTATTTTTAAAGCATATATGAGTAATAATATTAACGATATTGCTATATTTTAGTATTCTATTGTTGTATTTAATGAATGTACACTGCTGTACGCAGACATGAAACGCGGTTATACTACGCATGTGCAGAGGGCGACAACATCGAGTGTCTATTACGCATGCGCGAAACCTCTGAGCACGGAAAGTAACGTTTTTAGTAATTACTGTTCTTGTTGGAAAATCTGACATCCTCGCTTCATTCAGACGTCACATAATCACATCAGTGTTTTATGAAGAAGCGGGAGTTTTAGTGAAAAATAACGTAGGAAACACACAACTAAAGTTAGAGGCGTGGCTGTGATCGCAGTGTTCCCATAATGCATTGCGCGTGTGTAAACGTTTATAGTATATTTAATAATTTACCATGTAGCGTTTGTGTTTTCCTAAAAGGTAGCGTGAAATTTCCGAACAGTATTAGTTTGTGTCTGTTTAGTTGTGGCATTATTAAACGTTAAAGTGCGAACCGTAATAGAGACTGCTATGTCGGAGAATGGGGTCGGCCTGCCGCTCGTCTAGTCTCCAGTACACTCTTGTTTCTCTTCAGATCGTATAAATCTTTCGCCTTTTACTAAAGATTTCCGTGGAGTGGAACAATAAGAGTTTAATTTAATTTTTTGATGCCCTGCGTTAGTGGGGCTTGTTTCACTGTGAAAAATTAATGTTTTTTCTAAATGTTGGTCTATAAGTTCTGTTGGAAGTATCTCAGTGTGGTTTAGTGGTCTGTAAAACTGCTGTTTTTGGTATCAATCTGACACCAAGTAAATATAGGACCAGTACTGCCAATACTGACACTTTGCAACCCATAAAGGCAGTTTATGCACAAGATTGCAGTGTATGGCATGAATCATCATAGGTTTGCCATTTCTGAACATATTTAATAACCACTAAATCACTGTGATTCTTCAATAATGAGTTAACACAATAAAAAAAACACCTTTCAGATTTTCCTGCATTTTGATACTAGGTTTTTTGGAGACAAGAAATATGCATGTGCCTGTCTGTAAACCAAAGCACATGTTGTTTAACTGTGCTATAGGCTAGAGCCTATTGCACTAGTATCACCCAATACCGGGGGGGGGGGGGGGGGGGGGGGGGGTGCGCAATACTATTGACAGTTGAATCGATCTGCCAACCTCTAGTGTGATTCTTGGTAATAGATAAAAGTGTTACTTTCAAAACGTCACTTTTCCATGTCCACCCCCTTCACAATAAAAGCCCAGATTTTGGCTGTCTTTTTGTACTAGTTTTACTAAATAAAGTAGTTTTGGTTCATTTGTTTTGTATTTTAAAATTAACTAATAAATGTTAGTTTTTTTGTTGTCATTTTCCTTATCAAATAACAGACCTATTCCTGTTTTGGTAGGGAATGTCTGCAAAGCATATATTGTGAAAGTTTATAAGACGATTGCATTAGTCTCTAAACATACGTTCCAAAAACAGCATAAGCTGTGACTTCAGTTGAATTTGAATTTCGCAAACACACACACACACAGTCAGATAAAAGTGGACCTCTTTACAGAAACAACAAAACATACATAGAGCACACAAAACACTGCTGTTGATTTAAACATAATATGGAAATGTCAGTCATTTTAATGCAAAATCCGAAAAAGAAAAAGGTTTCTTTTACTCTCGAGCAGTGACAGGAAGTTTCCAACCTCTGTTTTTCATCATACCCAATGTAAGTGTCGTGGCTTCAATACTGAATATAATTAAAGTTTAAAAGGCAGAGTCAGACATCAAAAAGAAGGTAGTCAGTGCCTTATTCAGTAAACTCCCATTTCCTGTTGAAGGAGAGTATGTGAAGTAGCATTGCATAGCCAGTAACACATTCAAATCAGTTTGACAGTCAGCTGTTTCGTTTCAGCATTTCTCTCTTGGTGAGTTATTTATTTATTTATTTAGTCCAAGAAAAACTTAAATTAAAAACGACTGCAATGTTTTTCTCACTGTCAGTCATTTTTCACATTTTGCATGCACGACTTGGGGTGAACCCAGTTTTGCTTCTTCTTTAAGACCACTTTAATTACTGGTTTGTGACTCTAATGTGGACGACTTGACTATAATTTAAAATAACATATATATAGAGATATACTGCAGTGTGAATGCATTTGGGGTTTTTTACATAAGAAGCAAATACAGGTTGGCTTTGAGTTGAATTAGCTGGATTAGTTCGTTTCAGCGTCAGTTTGTGCTGACTAAACTGCACTTCAGCCTTTCTGAAGAAGCACTGTGGTGAAACTGTGACAGATAACTACTGCTTCCCCATTTAGAATGATAGCAGCTATTAAACATCAGGACCTCAGCGTACATGAACAGAATCTATTCATCAGTTAAACGCTCTCACATCTCAAGCGCACATAAAAATGCATGAGCGTGGCTATGATTGCACTTTGATGTGTATTTGAGAATTGCGATATTAATTGTGAGGCAGTTTAAATCCACAGTGTGGATTTGAACCAAATGGACTTCACACGTAGGCTTACACTTACACTCCAGATCAGAAGTTTGAGCTCTTTGTAGTATTTAAAGGAGAGTGAGACAAGATCTCAGCAAATGATACTCCAGCATGTCGTAGATAAAATGGAACTTAAAAGTTGGTTCAGTCACACCCCCACATCACATCTCTCACATCATACGTGGTAAGTGATGTGAGAGATGTATTTTGGCAGTTTCTTTAGGCTTCTCGAGTTCCCGTTTCTGCGTTCAACACGTAAAAGCTGCTGCTGCCCTGCCTGCTGTTTCAGCAGCTCTCACATCCACCTGTAGGATCCACCGTTATATTATGCGCCCCCCTTCCGGCTCTCCTCCCTGCTTTCTCCTATCTTGTCACTTTTGTCTTACTTCTCTCTATCACCTTTTCTATCCCTTTGAAGAAGTGAGGCTCCATAATTATTAAAGAGGTAAGTATTACTTCTCAGTTGCAGTGAATTTATAGAAGAAAATAAACTGTAGAAAAACAAACAGAAGAAAGTAGAAGAGAAATAATAATTGAACATAAACCACTGACGCACTCCGGGGCCTGATTAACCCTGGCAGGGCCTCCTTGGATGAGGGTGTCTAGTGAATTATATTACTATATATACATTTGCTGTTTCTGGTGTGGTTTTGAAAGCAAATGAATGCCTTCATCTCTGATCCTTGCTTGCACTGCCTGTTGGGTAACAGACACAGTGTTTTAACCACTCAGCTAAGGAGGAACTGCATGCTTGAGACACTTCCTGATATTTTCACACTTAACCATAGAAGGTAAATGGAGACTGACTTGAAACCCTGATCGTCGCAGGTCTGAACCCGTAACGTCAACGTCCGACGATCCGAGGCGACAAAACTTCTACGAGGTCTCAACACTGGATGGAGACGTTAAAGAGAAGCTACACGTAGTCTCCGAGCAGCCAGAGAAGGTCCACGCCGTTCCCATCCACCAGCGTCCCGACCTGCTCGTTCCCTGCGCAGACCTCGTCAACTGTGAGTGGCGGAGGAGCCAGGCCGCCCGGGTTCACTCTCTCCAAAAATCCTGCTCAGAGTTTCCTGTCAACCTGGTCCTCCTGCAGGGCCGCGGGGAGACTGAGAGGCTACTCGGCCACGCCAGGCTGTCTCGGGTCGTGGGTCACAGCGGCAGCCTTTTTGTCGAGTCAGTAGTTGTGTCCGAGGCGGAGCGAGGCAAGGGCTACGGCCGCACTCTGATGGAGAAGACCGAACGTTACGCCAGAAGTCGAGGGTTCAAGCGTCTCTGTCTGACCACCCACGATAAGCAGCACTTCTACGCCCACCTTGGCTATGTGCTGTCGACACCAGTGCAGAACGCGGGGGCCATGACGGCATTCATTCCCATGGAGACGCTTCTGAGGTTCTCCCGAATGCCGAGTGAGGAAACGAGCGTGCAGACGCAAACAAAGATGCACGCTCAAGGGGACAGAGACTCAGGAGGTGGTTGTGCTGTACGGTCGCCTCCATCCTTTAGTTTACCTACTCCTCCTCCACCACCTCCTCCTCCTCCCACTATCCCTTGTCCTCCCCCTCCTCCTCAGTGTGCAGGGCAGTGTGTAGTTCAGACTCTGACTGAAACTCCGTACAGAGATGCCAAAGGACTTCCCATCTACTGGATGCACAAGGACATTTGATGATCGCTGTCAGATACACACCAAAAGACAGAAATAAGCACAAACTCACAAAACACACACATATTGGAAGAAGAAGTGTGACATAGAAAGAACTGTGCTAGCAAACCAAAGAAGTAAACACTCGCACTCAACACTTTTACTTTTTCCACGTCACAGTTTGCAGAAGTATTTCCCAACACCTGTGAACAGATGCTGCGTGTGAACCCAGCTGCATGTGTACCTGTACGTCTGCATCGCTGCACTGAGTAAAAGAGAAATGATGGTGAACATAAGGACCCAGCAAGAAACTGGGGATAAACTTTAATGCTTCAGTTTCACTCAAGCATGTACTTTTTTTTATTGTAGTGACTGATGTTTGAGCCTAACTCTGTACAGTGTAGCCTGTGTGATACACAGACGGGATCTGCAGCAGCAGAATTAAACTCATTGGTTCAGTTTGCTGTGTTTACTTGAAAAGAGCTTTAATAATTGTAATTGTTACAACCAGTAGAGCTGAGCAAAGCATAAACGTGACTCCTCTGCTCCCAGCTTCCAATGCGGGACCTTGGCACAGCAGAATTTACAGCCCAGAGTGTTTTATGTGTTTTTTTCTGGCAGTTAAGCGAATTAACTGCAGGCAGGAGCGCACACTCGCTGCAGATTATGGTTATATCATAATAAATATTACATATTTTCCTTGTTGTTTTTTTATGTGTTTTGTAATCCGGGTTTTGAGGTTTGATTGAAACAAGAATAAATTAAAGATCATGACTATTTCCTATTGCTCTGAGACTGCTTGACTTCTATATAAATGTGTTTTGGTCCCCAAATGTCGAGAAAAGGTGGCGCTGTCGCCGCTTCATGCGCAAAAGCGCAGCGCGGTGGTCATGTTAAAGGCGCTTTTAGTGCTCCGTTGAGTAGAAAAGCGCAATATAAGAATCAGTCCAATTACCGTTTAGCCTTACACATCAGTGGGGCCACACAGCTACAGCGATGGGGCACGCCTATCACTGTTCGGCACCGAGTGCGCGCGGAGAATCCAGGTTAGCGCTGGGGAGAGGGGGAAAAAATCCCTCATCTAAGCAGAATCTAATCTGAGCTCTGATCGGATGAGAGGGTGACTCACATCTCTCACCTCAGTGAAATATCAGTCTATCACGGACTGTCTGAATGGCGGCATCAGTGTAACGTTTAAAGAAAGGGGGCGGAGCTCGATGCGCAACAGGTGCGAGGCTGCAGTTTCATCTTTGCAGCTCTTAGCCCGAAGATGCACACCCTCTACCTCCACCTGTCCATGTCTCAACTCCAATCGCTTCATCTGGAGTTCTTCGGCCGTAAGCTGGCTGTGCATTCAGCAGGAACTAGAAGCTCCACATCGGCTTTGACTGCTTCCCCTGCAGCGGATACACCAGCAGCGCCAGCTCCCCTCCTGTTTCCTCACATTGAGAAAGGTTTGAAATGAGAAAAACTAAAAAAATAAGCTTTTCTGCGTTTGTTGAGCTGCTTTGATGTAGAATTTTTCGCAGAATAATGCGAATCACAGTCATTGTTGCACTCAGTGATAAATACTTCATATCTGCAGTGACAGCTTGGACCAGTGCAGATATAACCAATCTCAACCACTTAAGTAACTTGTTGCCCATCAGTCTTCCAAAAATCTGTCTGCTGCTGTTATTTTCTCATATTGTTTTTATTTGATTCATTGAAATGTTAAAGATTTCTTACAGTGGGTGAAAAATGATTGGAATAAAGAGACTTTCTTATCATTATAGCTTTGACTGGTCTTTATTTTTGCATTTCTTATCATGTTTTTCTGTCAGATAAAAGCCCGTACTTGATTATAACCATTTAAATGCAGAAAAGTTCATCAGGACGATTTCTTTCTCCTGCCAGGAAGGACACATCTGTGGGTGAGCAGCCATGGAGCTGTCTCTCCTCCTCCTCCCCGTCTTCTTCATCTCTTCCCTCCGTTGCAACTCGCTGCCACAGAATTCCCCCCAGGCGGATGCCTTCATCGGCACCTCGCTACAAGCTGTGGCTGCAGCTCATCCCATCCTGCAGAACCAGCCTTTCATCCTGGTGTGGAACATGCCCACGGCAAACTGTCCACAGCGATACAACATCCACCTGGACCTGGGAGACTTTCATATTGTGGAGAACAAGAAGGAGCGCTTCCAGGGACAGGTGATCGTCCCTCATCCATTTATTTTACTGATATTCTACTTTAAAACCATAGAAAGAGGGCTGGTGAGGGCACTGTAACAGTAACAAGGATTAAATGTGCAATAAATCCAAAACAAGTGAAAAAGGGAAAATGTTTGATTTTCCAGAAAATGACCATCTTCTACCGCGACCACTTGGGAAAATATCCATACCTCTCCCGAAATGGCAAGAAAGTGAATGGAGGACTCCCTCAGCTCGGCGACCTGGCCTCTCACCTCTCCCTGACGGTGACGCAGCTGTCCGACCTCCTGCTACCAGATTTTAGCGGCCTAGCTGTCATCGACTGGGAGGAATGGAGACCGTTGTGGGAGACGAACTTTGGATCTAAGATGGAGTACCGGAGGTTGTCCAAACTGCTGGTGAAACAGGAGCAACCAGATCTTTCAGAGCGGGCAGTGACATCGCTGGCGAGGCAGATGTTTGAGGAGAGCGCTCGGAAGTTCATGGAAGAGACACTCCAGTCTGCGGTCGGAGAACGCCCCAAAGGCTTCTGGGGGTTTTATGGTTTTCCCGCCTGCGTTAACAAGAACAAGAGAAAGACAGGTTGGTCTAACACTAACGTTGAACACGTTGGTTTTCAAGCAACCTGAACAATAATGACAACTCCTTTTGTACCGATGATACAGGCTGATCTCTGTCTTTTATTTGTATTTCTGTGTGATCAGATAAAACTTACACAGGACGCTGCCTCAGGGGGACCAGGCAGCAGAATGATGAGCTGTCCTGGCTTTGGACTAAGTCCTCCGCTCTCTACCCCAGCATCTACCTGCCACAGAAACTGGCAGGGTCTGCAGATGCAGCTCTAATGGTCAGGTACAAGAAAATCAGCAAGAAATGCATTCACTTACACTCTGCTGCCTCAGGCACTCACATATCAAAACATGACAAGGGTATGAGCAGTCCTGTCATTTAGCTTTTGTTAGCCATGATGGCCAGACAGGTGGTTTCGCTTACTCACGGGTTGCTCTGTCTTCTTTAACCAGACACAGACTGCTGGAGGCTTTGAGGGTGGCGTCAGGTTGGCCATATCACAACAACACCGACCACGCCACACCCGTCCTCCCCTACGCCAGGCTAGCATTCACACACTCACTCAAGTTTCTCAGTAAGGTAGGACTTTTTTAGCATACGTCACATAATATTAAGATTTTAAATATGTGGCATGACAAACTGTGTGTGTGTGTGTGTGTGTGTGTGTGTGTGTGTGTGTGTGTGTGTGTGTGTGTGCGTGTGTGTGCAGATGGACCTGGAGCACACACTTGGAGAGAGTGCATCACTGGGGGCAGCTGGAGTTGTGCTGTGGGGAGAACTGAAATTCGCCAAAAACAAGGTGTGCATGTGAGAAAACATTATCACTGTGTGTGTGTGTGCGCCTATGTGTAACCATATTGATCTTCCCAAACCATCCAGAAACAGTGCGTTCTCCTCAGAGACTACGTCCACAATGTCTTGGGTCCCTTCGTTCGATCTCTGAGGTCTGACGCAGAGCGCTGCAGCCTCCAGGTTTGCCACGGCAATGGACGCTGCACCAGGAGACACCTGGGCTCTGGCCACCGGCTCAGTGACTCTTCCAAACATTTCCAGAAACACTTCATGTGTCATTGCTACCAAGGCTGGACAGGGCAGGGGTGCCAAGACAAGAAGAGCGAGAGCAGAGAGGAGGAAGATTGACCTGAGCTTTTTTGTTACGGTGCTGTCCATTTATGAGTTCATGGGGATAATAATACTACTAATGGAAGTTACAGTTTTGAGCAGTGTGGTCCAAGTTCATTTTAATTTCATTAGTCCAAAGGTTTTTTTTTTTTTATTTTTAAATCTTCTCTGCCCTTTCTGTTTTCCAGTGCAACCAGTTGTTAACACCTTGCTGTAAATCCTTTGCATTCCTATTTATGGAGTCATCTCTTGATTGTAAACTTTAACAATGATACACCTACCTCCGCAGAGGTTATGAAGTTGGTATCCATGGAGATAATTCTGCCATCATGCACTTTAATAGTCTCCTGTGGTCTTTCAGTTGTTTAGACTTTTTGCCTGTTTCTGTGGTCGTGTGTCATAAATGAAAGGAAAAAAAGAAACTGTGTTTGGCTACATTAAAGGGACCTGTACTTAAATTTGACTCTAATGGACTTTGCATAGGAAGACTAAAGTGTAATGTTTTACTGTTGCAAGATTTTTTTTTCTCAACCAATAGTAAAATAGTGTCTTGTTACCATGGAAGAAAAGACACATTTTAAACTTGACATGTGTACATAAAATCTGACTGAAAAATCCCATCAAACATCACCATGAACGACAGAACACTGTAAATAAACGACTTGGTGAAAACACGTAACTATACATTTACCCAGTCACTCTATCAAATACATACTTGACAAAGTTGATGAAATCAGAAGTCCGTTTAATTTTCTGGCTGTCCACAGCGTTTGTAGGGGAGACTGGGGATAGTTGTAACGTGGGTCAGTTATAACACTTCCAGTTTCTCCAATCAGGGCTAAGTTTCAAATGATGTGACTCATCCTGTGCATGCCCAACTCAGTTCTGCTATCACATGTGAAAAATCAGCACATTTTGTCAAACACAGACAATTTAACACGAAAAAAAGTAATTTGTATGCCAAAAAGTAAGTTTTTCTACTTTATTTCAATTTCTAATAGCATTATTTGCTTTTCAGTTAAACTCATCAAACTTGAATTATGTTATTTGTATATCTATGGGGATATATTCTGTGTAGGTCTTTAGTGCTAATGTTTTAGGCGTTGGCTGTAATGTTAGCTAGTTCATGGCTATAGGAGTCTGGGTCAGTTGTAACAATAATGCAGATGTTACAACTTACCACACTATTACTTTAACTTATATTAAACAAGTTGGGGCAACGACATCAGCAGAGAGAGGTTCACTGGTCGCATTTGTATATGCGGTTAATGCCATTGGCAACACAATTCCTGGAGTGTTTGTGTTCCTACACATACATTATGCAGACCACTGTGTCAGAGATGGACCAGTAGGAAGTACTGGTAGTGGAAATAAATCAGGATGGGTGCAAGAAACAGATTTCCTCATCTTTCTGAAGCACTTTGCAAACCACACCAAGGTAAGCCATGATAAAAAGTAATGGAATTGCGATGCTGGTGAACAACTACATTTTTTCAGCTTCATTGTTATGTTCAAAATTGGTGCAAGAGTTGTAGGTTATAATGCCCACTGAGCCAATGAGGCCAAACTCGAGGAAGACCAACCAAAATTAATGAAATATTCAGTTGCAGAAAATTCCATAATTTGTCTTTTTGGGGGGTTGGTATATGTTCAAAAGTTAGATTTCTGCATTCTGTCACACACACACACAGCTACATAAATGGATGTAAGTGCATTCATGTGTTGAATAAACAAAGATTACATGTTAATGTTTTGTTAGTACCCTTATTTCATTGTGTTACATTTTACCCCAGGATATGTTACAACTAACCCAGACTATGGGGTTAATTGTAACATTTCACTCTTTGTGTTTGAGGCCATACCATGCAATGGGTAATTGTGCTGCAGAGAAAATAGCTGCACTATTTAATAGCAGAGACATGTAAATACTTTGCATTACATTTTGAATCCACTACCTTAAAAGAGCTCCAATTTACAGACAGAAATGTCAAAAATGTTACAACTATCCCCGGTCTCCCCTACTTTATGCGTTTCCTGTGATGCCCACAGTGAGTCACCCAAAACGACTGACAGCACAGTATAAAAACAGCTTGTACGTTTTTAGACACAGTGGCAATGACATAATGGTCGGACATTATTTCAAGCAATGTGAGATCAACCACTTCCCTTCTGCCACACTGCCACCATTAAACAAAAGCTTTATTTAAAAGTCCTTCTCAAATAATCCTAGTAAGCCTAGAAGTTGTTTTTCAGAAAACTCCAATCTCATATTTCTACGGTAATAATCTGAAAACGCTGTCGGTGTTTTGTTTTCTGTGCATATCTTCCTCACGTCCCTCCTGTCGCTCTCTTGGCTGTCAGGTTGTGCCTGAGTGCGTGCAGCTCTTGGATCAGCAGTGACAGCTCTGTGGCTGCAGCCTCTTTTTCTCTCACCGCCTCCGTCAGCATCCGTATTGCGCCGCCCTGCTGGACTGGAAGAGGAGCAGCCAACAATAAATGTTTGCTTTTGTTTGCACATTTCTTTTATTTTTTTCTATTTATTTATTTATTTTATCTCACCTAAGAAGTAAAAAATGAGTAACACTGTGAGCAGAAGCAAAGTGATGATAGCGCAGCCCATGGCATAGGCCCGGGATGAACTTGGCGTCAGCATGTCCTGCAGTCGGCTCTGCCAGGATTTGCTGCCTGGGTGGCCTCTTTGATTGGCAGCTGTCGTGTCGCAGGTGTAAATGTTCCCATTTGGCGAAGGTGTGTACACCGGACGAGGAGCCCTCATTCCTGAAATCGCATTTTGTCAGAGTCAGTGTTTTAATGCGTCATCGCACTGTGGATGGTGTGTTTGGGGCGATTTTACCTTTGTGGCTGTGCTCGGGGTGTGTTCGGTGGAGGTCGTTGATGGAATCGACAGAATGCAGCTCGATCTCGGTGAGATCTCTGTCGCTGACCCTGTAGAACTGAGGAGTGGTCTGGGTGGAAGAGGGCCTCGACATGTCTCCTTGTCTTGAGAGAAAAATCAGGAGGAAAATATGCTCACTGTTTGCTCCAAAAGGCTCAACTAATGAGCAACTCCTTTGTTGATCATTTAAATGAGAGGTGCTGCAATCTTGGAATAGCTCTGAAATGCAAAGAGAGGCTGTGCAATTTTAAAGTTCCATAATAATAATACATTTGAAGCTTGGGTCTGTAAAGATTATGTTTCTCTACCAGAGCTCTGTTCCTATGGAACAAGCTCAGACCTTAACTCAGTCATCAACCTTCGTCTGTTCTCTCCCATAGTTTGTTTGGTTCTCATCTCTCTGTGCTCTCCATAAGGGGGCTTTACCGAAATCTCTTCCTGTTAAAACATAGATCTTCCTTCCTACTGTCACCTGCATGCTCACAGGGGATTATCTGATGTTTGAGGTTTCCTTTCTAATATTGCTTTCCTTCTTGAAGTGAATGCTGCTGCGCGTTGGTGGTATGTAGGTAAATTTTAACTAAACTGATCTCAGTCACTGCCTTTGGAAAGTGGACCACAGCTGCATGAAAAAAGATTTTCATAAAATATGACCAAAAACATTGTACGATTTTTCAAGTCCTTAAAGTAGTAAAATAGGCCCAGATTAAGTAAGTGAAGCATTAGATTCAGACTGGGTTATTTATCAGTGAAAATGTGCCAGTATTACACAACTTTCAGTGAAGATTTTTAAGCCCTTGCTTTCAGTATCTGTAGATTGCTTTAATCCTACACACCATCTTGGAGGAATTGTATCCCATACAGAAAAGCTTTAGGATGTTGGTGGGATTCCTCGGATGCTCACTTCAGGAACATTTCTACTGGGTTAAGGTCAGGTCAGGACTTTGACTGCTCAAACCCCCAAAATTCATAACCCAGAGTTAGTTAAACTCCAGGGATATCACTCTGTCCAGTTAGGAAGCTTCAACCACGTCTGACAGTTTGCTCAGAAACATGTACATGAGTAACCCAATCAATGATATTGTGTGCTTCTCCTGTTCCTCCTGCTGGGTTGAAGCGCTTCTACAGCCATTTCCAGCTCTTCTTAAGTAACTGCATGTTACCTGGCATCTCCTCCACACTCTGGAGACTGTGCTGACCTGCAAACCTTTTTGTGATGGCATTTATGAAGGTGCCATCCCGGAGGAGCTAGATTACACATGTAGTCACAAGAACACTAGGAAAAAAAGCAAAACTAGAAAAAAAAGGGATAAGGACAGAGAAAGAGTCTATAACATCTGCAAAACAATTCCTTTTTGGGGGTTGTCTTGTTTTTGCTTCTCTGGTGAATCTGTTGTCACTTTCAGTGAAAGGATTTGAAATGGATTCATAATGGTTTATACCTACTAAATGAACACACTGACATCCCTGAGGTTAAACAACACCACCCTGTTTCATGCTGTAGATAGGAGAATAATGTGTCAACCTTTACTCAAACACAACATTTGCTCCACAGAGGTTGTTAGAGAAGCCTTCAGTGGCTTAGATGCTATATCCTACATTGCTTTGTGACTTCCTGGACTATCACATGACTGGTTCTCCTGGTTTCTCTCATGCCACTGAAAATCCCAGTCTTTTTGGAGCCTGGTTAAATGAAATGAGGACACAGATACTAAATAAGTAAACACAGATTAGGTCTTTTTTGGAGGGAAGAAGTTTGTGATATATTCTGCTGGTGGAATAAAGCAGCAGGTGATGGCTCGGGGTATGAGGGTTGCCTATTTGAAGAGAAAACACACAGGTCAAATGGGCAGCTGATTAATCAGAGCTATTATTAAAGCTGGCTGCCTAACCGCTAAAGGCACAGTGCTGCTTGAATTTCAGACAAGGGCCAAAGGATGTTCCTATCTGGAGACTAACATAATTATAAGCGGGATACATGATTTTATGAACCCACCTAAATAATGTAAACTCATGGACCTGAGCAGATTTCTTTTACTTTTTAAGTACAAAAAAGTAACATTTTCTTCTCACCTACCTTGTGTCACCATAAACAAATGCTGTGTTAGATTTTGTCTCTTCTCGTCAGTCACTCTTCTTGCTCCCCCAGTTCTCACACATCCAGACACCCGATGGCCAAAACATATGGCTGCACCCAGTGGCGCAGCAGTTAAATCAATTCAATCTCCCGATGGGTCTTTCAGGAGCCACACTGTGACAAAATAAATCCAAATAAACTCCCGCTCAATCCCAGCAGTAAAATCGTAATATTTTAAAGCCAAAGGGAAAGCGTAGATTTTTCCCAAGGGTCCTTCTGCTCCTGAGTGTCACCGAGCAACTGCAGGATGCCCCAGAGCCACCCCTCCTACTACTAACTATGTTTGTGTGTCTGATTTAGCCCACCCTAGTTTTTTTCACCCCTGCTCCAAGCATGCTTGTGCACACGCCCCAGCTTTCCAGGCCTTAAAGGCCTAAAATAGCAGAAGGAACACGGGGTTATTATTAGCTGCTCAGCCAAAAGGATGACTCAAAGATCTGGGTGGAGGGCATGATGGGGGTACAGAGGGATAAACACACTCATAAATACTCACAAGGACAAATATCACAGTCTGGCAGCTTCACCTGGCCAAAATATCCTCTCATGTGTGAGAATCAAGAATGGATGCTGTAGTGTGTACATAGAGGGTGGAGTAACTGTGTGTCATGCTAAACTGAATGCTGATAAAGGATGTTAGGCTCATTATGAAAAATCATCAAAATGTGCTTTAAAAACAATGAAAGCAATGGCTCAATGGGGCCCATTTAATATCCTCTCTGTTTCTTTCATTCTTGATCATTGAACGAGAGCAAAAAATCAGCATAGTCTTCAGATTCAATGCTTTTTAGATACAGACAAATTATAAAAGGATGCACAACTTTTCAAATGACTGCATCTCTTTTAGTAACATTGGTAGGTGTACTGCTTCAAAAGCCCTCACCCTCTTGGGCCTCTAGGCTCCATCCTGGTAGGTCTGTTCAGTGATCCATCCTTGGTTTTATTGGAGGAATTAGCAGCTGGTGGAGGTTTGCTCCAGAGAGAAGAGGAATGAAAGTCAGTAAAAGCAAGAAAGAACACATTTGTGTGAATTAGACAGATCGGGGAGAGTGAAACAGCGAAGCTATGAGGAGAAGAGGCATTGAAAGTGGGCGAGTTGAGTGCCAGGCTGGTAGGAGTATGAAGGTGGAAGTAAGACCTGCTTCAACCTGTATGGTTTGGAGGCGATGGCATTGACAAAAAGAGAGAATCTGAAGATGTTACGATTTTCATTGGGAGTGACCAGGATGGACTTTAAGTGAGTACATCAAAGGGAGAGGGTGAGGAGTTTGGAGACAGATTCAGAGGCATGGCTGAGATGGTTTGGCAGAGGGGTAGTGGATATATGGAGCTGATAGGCAGGAGGAAAACAGGAAGACCTCAGAGGATTGTTGGCTGTAGTGAGGGAGGGCAAGCAGAGGGTGTGGAAGAGAAGAATGTTAAGGATAAGGTGAGATGGAGGAAGATGATCTGCTGTGGCATCAGCTCAAAGAAGAAGCAGCTGAGATTAAAACACACCTAGCACAACTAGTCATAAATGTAGCATTAAAGTCGTATTCGAATCGCCACAATCTGCAAATTTTTCAGGCTTTTCTTCGCTAGTTATGCTAAAAGATTTTTGGTATTGAATAAAAATATTGACACTGCACGAGGCTCTGAAAATCAGGTTTTACTTTATGCGAGAGCAGAAACACTCCAGAGCTAAACATTTCCACATTTATTAAACTGAGCTGATATACATATAATAATTTTTATTCTGAATTTCGTCTCCCAAAGAAAGAGCACTTTAAGGATTTGTATGTGTAAAACAACAGAATTTCATGAAGCTGATGTAAACAAATGTTTTTTTTAATTATTTTATTTTATGAATGAAGTGGGAAGCCAGTAATATCTCAGGTAACACCCACATTGTGTTTTCTTTTGATTGAGCGTGATTCGCTGAACCAACCAGCAAACGTCTACGCGCCAGCGGTCCAATAACTACATAACCCACAAGTCCTTGCAGCTAATCGTTGCGCTTCATGTGGTTTTGCTAGGTGAGCGCACGCACACTGCACTGAAGAGTTTAGAAGCACAGCGGAAGTGTTACCCCGTCAGGAGCAGCGAGAGTGAGTGCTGAATTTAGCGGGGACTCAGGTGTCATGATGTGGGCTCGGTTGACGGTTGGAGCCGGGGCTTCGGGGCTCGGGTTGCGGGCTGCAGGGGACGGTTTGCTGCGGTTCGTTGGAGCTGGATGTGCGGGGAGGAGGCAGCAACAGAGCCGGGCTGCCAGCACAGAGGTAAGCAGAGCCGTGAACTTCAGTCCTTGCAAGTGTGCCAAAGGCTTTTGGCATCAGACTTCACACGCACCTTTTGTTGTTATGAGTTATTTATCTATTTGCTGAATTTTCACTCATTTCATTTGTCACGTGTTCAATATTACTTATTAATTTTTTTTTAAACTCTAACTTTGGTCCTGTGGTATGTTTATCCTACTTTATAAGACTTTAAAGGACAATTTCAGGCCTGTAACTCACGTACTTTAGTGAAATTTAAATGATATTTTTGATTGGCTCGCTGAAGAAATCTTGCTCTATTATTGTTACTGCCTACTGTGTGTGTCTTTAGTCCTGTCTACCTCCCCTCACCCCCAACAGGTCACCTCAGAGGCCTGCCTGGTTCTTCCTGTTAAAAAGGACTTTTAACTTTCCACTGCCGCCAAGTGCTTGCTCATTGGGGGGTCATATTATTGTTGGGTTTTTCTCTGTATGTATTATTGCTGTAGGGGTTTACCTTACAATATAAAGC